CTTTTCAATGATAAGGCCAATCTGACATTTTTCATTTAGCTCAATATTAATGACCACACTTAATGTGCTGAAAAATATGTTTCGCCCACTATCGTTTGCTTTTCGATATTTTTGACGGTTCAACTGTCAAATTTAACATTTACAAACCATCGGGTTAGACGTTTGAAATGTCGAACTCGACATTTACAAATTGTCGGGGATATACAGCTTTACTGTCAAATTGAACACTTAAAAACGATGGAAAGCCTTGATTTGACCTTTTGCTATTATATGGATTTACATATTATGCAGTGCCACTTTTATGCTATCAAATGCCGACATATTGATTCTACAGAATTCTTATTGTTGCAATTCCAACATTTCAGGTATGAATAATCATTTGAAATTCATCGTATCGCATAAAAAAAGTTTGTTCATGCGGATGACGAATAGAAGTGGAGAGGGAACAAAACCACTTCCATTCTAGTTTCGACAAGTAATACCATAGCCGGACTTTTGTTAATGTTGAAGGACAAACTTGATATTCTTGATCCCTACACTCAAATTAAATTGAAGTTCAATGTTTTTAACTTGAATATACCTCCGGACGAAATACGCCACGACGAAGACTTATTTTTATCACATCTCAAATTGAATTTGAAAGACAATTAGTGTGATCCTTTTAAAGTTTAAGGGTCCTTGTATCATCCACACTTGGTCTATCATTTATGAAAATTGTATACATTATATCATGTGTACCATTTCATCTTGATTGAAGCATGGTACGCACAACATTTTAATGCAAACAAAGAAGTGCTCGTTATGTCTTGCAACATTTTAATGCAAACAAAGAGTTTCAGAAATTTTCTTTTGAAAAACTAGAATGAGATGATTCTAATTTAATTTTGTTTATTGTCTTTTCAAGCATATATTGCTATTAGAATTTGATGTGAAGATGAAACATAATTAGAGTTCTCTATTGAATAGCTACATGTGTGTTTTGGAGTGATATATTGTATTATATATATACACATGGAAAAGAATGTTATAAAAGATGTAACAATGTAACAATGAAAACTAAAGAATATTATTAATGCCAAAAACATATAAAGAAAAATGCTGTAAAATTAAAAAGAATGCTATAAATACTAAACAGAATGCTATGTACAAGTATTTTTATTTCACTTCATAATAGAGATATGATTGTAAATAACATCACCTACAATACCATTTCCAAATAGAACATGATAGATAGCATTTTTTGCATTCTATAAATGAATCAATATGTTGTAGTGCGAAGTCTAAAGACCATGGCCGATTCGCTCAAGGCGAAAGAGTCCAAAATTCCCATCAAATCATCTCTACTCAAAGTATATGAATCTCCATTACAATTAAATTTAATGGATTCTGTTGTAATCCAATGACAATCACCAGTAATGTATATTTAACATTGAACAAAGCCGAATTGTCACTCTTTTTAATGTATTATGACTTAAGATACCATCTTAAAAAAATCAACATTATTAAGAAGAGTAATCTAAACCTTCATAAGTTGGTCTATATTTTCATTTTCATTCGATGTGGAATTTTATCATTTAACATGCCCCTGTAAGATTGTTGCTGGTTTGAGCAAAACAATCTTGAAATATGCGTGCTCCTTTTTTGAGTGTTAATTAGATAGAATTGTTTATTGGAATTTAATGGACTCTGTTATCATACTAAGACTTGGGAATCCATTTTAAAATGTCAGCATTATTAAAAGTAGTAGTCCAAACCCTTATAAGTTAGTTTATATTTTCATCTTTATTCGATATGAAATTTTACTCCTTAACACGACACTCCCTTCTTTGGCATCCCTATTACAGTCCTTCCTAGCACGTCTCTTCTGGATAGTCTCCTTGCCCAGAATCAGACAGTTTCTTAATGCTTATCTTTGTCCAGCTCCGAGGAAAATGAAACATTGGGTTTCACATCCGTCTCCGCTTATAATATTGTCGCTGGATGTGGACTTTCATATAACCAACTCGTCCCTATGTTGTTTCTCTGCCTGCAGAGCTTTTAGTTTTTACTCAAAAGAGACCCGAGAACAAAGCAAAGGTATAATAAAAAGATCAATTGTATGCTGCAGAAAATACTTGAAAATAAAAAGGGAAAAAAATCTGCCTGGCGAAATGGTCGTACGTGTGTCCATGCACTTTGGCCCTGTAATTTTGATAATAACCAAAGAAGTTTTAACAAGCACTACATCAATGGAAGAGAATAGTGTACTAACCCTATTGATTCTTCAGATCTAGACAATTCTCTCTTCATCTCCTCCACTCGGCAATTTCTCAGCTCTTCGAACCAACCCTGGAAGTTAAGACCAAGAAACGAGAATATGATACACTCAGTGTAATTCCCAGTTGGAATCCGAATAGTTAACAAATTGGACGCAGAAACCTTCTAGAAATCTTTGATTCCGGGTTTAGAAAACAACCAAACGAACATCACATATACCAAGGCTAAATTTCAGTATACATTGAAAGACATAATGGTAGTGTGAATCTAAATTTCTTCCGCTGTGTCAACAAAATCCAGAATGCTGTTAATTGAGGGCAAAATTGCATTATGATACTTTTTAGGTTTCTGAAACTCGTTTACACTATTAAGGTTACTATAACATACGCTGCTAAGATCTTATAAACTTTGACTTGTGAACATGCGTGCCTCCAATGATTGTAAATTTATGTGAAATGTTACATTTATATTCCTATGTAAAATTGACTCAAGTAACTAGAGAATAGTTCATGTAGACAACAAGAAACCTAGATAAGGTGTAACATGTTTCGTCCATCTCTCAATTGAAGAACTTGTTTCCATTTGTCTCTTTACTTTTCGAGTTCCTTTTTGGAGATTGCGAGGCGATGCTTACCTTTGGCGCTGAGTCCTAAATTTCAACCATACATGTTTCGCAAAATTTAAATTATAATTTAAGTTCATCAAATATATTTTTTATCCACATATTTTGTAGTATTCACAACTTATTATCTCGTATGATCCATAATAAGCACTACAAAACATACTAGAAACTTACCTCAATTTTCTAACCATGTAGTTCCTGTGCTAATAAATAAAAAATTAGTCTTAACAAGTTATGATGCATAAGGTCTACAATTCGATGCCCTTGTTGGGCTCCATTAAAGTTTAATTTTAGGAAAAATGTATTTTATAGATGGAGAATATGTGATTAAAAAGTAAAAAAAAATTTGAGTTTATGTGTAAATAGAGTGGTCTTTAAATTTTTATGGAGCCACAACAGAGGCTATATCAAGTATAGAGAAGTTTAAACGATAAGTGAAAAAGGAAACTCAAAAAGATGCTTGCAGGCACCTAAATTATCTGTCGTGAGACTTAAAAGATTAACCCTCTACTTGTTTCCATTTTGAAACCTCTGGTCTAGAGGTGTAGACCGTAGTTGTTTTCTACATATTTTTCAATAAAACAATAATAGAAAACAAAACAGCAAGTCACAATGGTCGCCTGGTTAGCAGGCCTGCTTGATATCTCTATATATCAGTTCCAACTTTGAGTTGTAACAGCAATAAAATGGTGCATCAATTTGTCAATTTCAATATGATTTTAATACACCAAAAAATTTACATAATTATGTAATATTGGACTAAGGTACATTTCATAATGTTAGTTTGGAATTTTGCTAGGACGGGGCGGAAATGGCATGCATGTGAATATCTTATTTGAGTTATTTTGTTGCTCCTGAATATGCACAAATTTACACAATATCAATATCTAAAAATAATATTGCATTGTTATTCTTGATAAAGTATAATATTTATATTCTAGATGAATTCTATATCAATGTTCTTGGTGAAAACATGACTCTATTTAAATAATATTCTATAGAAACATGTGTTAATATTCCCGAAGAAGTATAAAGCTTATAATCTTAAGCTTCTAAAGAATATTTAGATTTTACTTCCTAAATAAAAATATGAATCAATATTTTAGAAGAATATTAAGCCCCTATTATGTGGGAATTAAAATTAGATTTTGATAGAAATTTTTGAAAAGTGGAGTTAAAAAGTTGTCAGACCTATAAAATATGTGAATAATATTGATTGTCTGACTTTAATTTAGATTAAAATCTAATTTAAATCAATACTAAACAGGGGCTAAATTAATTCTCGTGAAAAAACTCGACAAGATTTTAACAATTCAAATATTTTGTAATGTGCCATTAAAGGATTAAAGGTGGAGTGTTGTAAATAATATGATTATTAATAAATGACAATTATATCCATATAACCCTGGTAATTATGAATAATATATCACTTGCAACTCTAATTTTTCCTTATAAATATGTGATTTTAATACTCAATAAAAATACACAAAAGTCTATTGTCTTCTCTCTAATATTCCCTCTTCTCTATTTTATAACAATCAACAATTAATTTAAATCATGTATTTCACGTCTCATAACTTTTTAACCACACATTTCATCAACTTTTATTAAAATCTACTAAAAATCTAATTTTAATTCTTAATTGACTAGGGCATTGTTAATTAAACTTCAAATGTGTACTTTTGTTTTTATAAAATGATGTGTATGTCCTCATATTTTTCCATATAGTTTCGACATTGTTTACCCATAGCTTGTTGGATAATTTTTGTGGACTTTATCATTTCACCGATTCATACTAAATAACGAGCATCGATTCTTTTTAATGAATTGATCCAATCGCTACTTCAAATATGGAATTCCTTTTGTTTTGAGATTATGATTTCTTTTTCTTTCAAATTCATCAGGTACTGAATTCCAAATTAAGATATTTTGATTTTAAATAGCTCAAAATGCATTGCCTTGTTCTGGGATCCTTTATCTTTGTTTTAACATCAGAATAGTGAAATTTTAGCATTGTCTTACATCCATCACTCAAGGTCGTTTGCAAAAATCGTTAATTTTGAGACAAGGAGACTGTCGTAGGAAAAACAAATAGATGAGAAACAAAATTGAAAGGCCAGCATTGAGATTTTTAACCCCCATTCAGCAATAATTTCAGGCATAAATTAAGAAAGAGGGCCTTGAATCCCATAATTCAATTGCAGTTAACATTAGTAGTATACATTTTGCTTATGTCCATGATGATTACATGCTCATGTATACTTGAGAGACTATACAAATGAATTATATTCAACGGCATCCACATCCCAAGCTAATGCGCCATCAGAAAACCTTAACGCCGAAATTCTTCTATGTAGGCCTCCAGAAACTTTGAAGGAAGTGGCAAAAAGTAGACTAGCAAGGCAAAATTGAAGCATTCTTGATGTGATGAAACTGTTCACCCTTTTAAGCATATGCTAAGCTACTCTTCCAAACAGGGATGCAGGTTATGATTGTTGGAGAACCAGATTCAGTTCTTGTGCACATTTTGCTACCACTCCCCCCCTCCTACAGTAGAGAAAAAAATAAGCCATGAAGATTCATTTTAGGAAATCTTCAGTGATTTTTTTATATCCAAGAAGTGAAAATATTTTATTTTACACCATATCCAGATATTGTTGACATGGAAAGACAATAAAGAATGGGAAAACCCCAATCTAGTAGCCACAGTTTGTCTCCCTTTAATAAAAAATTCTTTAATTCTCACACTCATTTTTAACCACATATTCACAGAATAAAATGTTTTGCACGTAAATCCAAAACATTTTCTACTTTTTAACCCCACATTAACAAAAAAATCACTATTCAAAACATCATTTTTCTCAATAAATGGCCATTAAAAAGGATATAAGTATTATAAATTACCCTATCATGGTATTTCACTGACTAATGCAGCAGACAGTTGAAGGGATGGTACTCAAACTCACCTTACAAGTTCTGGAAGAATCTTCTGTGTATTCTGGAGATGTACGAAACACTGTTTGCATAATTTGAGCCTGTCAAGATCAATAGGTAATGCATCAATACGAAACTGAAGTAAACCCTGTTTGACTAATACATGGCGTGCAATGGGGAAATACAAGTTCTCAGCAACACTACCTTTCCTCTGCATGAAGATCGACCCCAACAGCTCGAGGTGCGGAAACAGCTGATCGCACTACCGTACCAAAAACTGCTACCAGCTTCAGAAGCATTTCCAAGGATACAATAGCATGCCTACACAGGAAATATAGTGGGGAGTGAAAAATTTGCGGGTAAATCAGAGGTAGGACGCATTGCAAGGTAAAAAGATCAGTTCCTCCTTTACTCAAAGCGCCATTCCTATCTCCTCCTTTGTTCTTACAAGACAAATATATCAGTGAAGACATTACTCTTGTAAGCGTCAAAAACCAGGCAATAAGAGTCACATGTTCAAAGCACAAGTAAATAACAAAACCAACTTCAGACAACAGATGATAGAGATCTATGTCCTTTAAGCCCCTAATTTACCAAATTAGATGCAGTAATTACCTTTCTATCTTGCTTTCCAGTAATCCTAAAAGCACAGGAAGCAAGCAAGAAAATAGGTCCAACGTAATGATCTCCATCCTCTCTATGAGAACACCAACTACATCAGCATGTACCTGAATCAGCAAAAGTGATCTCAAAAACGCAGAACCACAGGAACAGTTCAGTGAAAACACCTAGAGATACTGAAAGAAATACTCACAGAATGATCGGGCAATTTCCTCACAGCATTTATGGCACCTTTAACATCACTCCTTTCCCAAAAATGCCGCACCACCTAGAGTAATTAAAATTCAAATAAGCTAATTCTAAGGAAAGAAGAGGAGGGCAAAATAAAAAAACACTTCAAAAAATAAGTAAGAGGAGGAAGAAGAGCAAACATTATGTGAAAACCTATAGGAGAATATTAATATTCATAAGGGCACAGTCAAAATTAGCCATCACTACACCAAAGCAATGAAAAAACAAGTCTGATTTCCAAAAAATTGAGTCATCTATACGAATTCTTCCCCCCTTCTAACCTGTTTTACTAATATTGCATCTCAAGTGACAAAAAGTTTCTTTTGGTCCCCACATTATATTCCTCATCCAGCTAATCTGTCCACCCCCTATTTTAGAAATTTCCACCTTTACTTTATTGACATATATTTTTATTTCTTATACTACTCAAGGGCTGTTTGTCATCTCTCTTATTATTGCTTCCTGTAAAAAGTTTTGGAAAGAAGATATATTAATTTTTGTTTGGAAACTAATTTTAAAAAGACTTTCCTATTCTAAAAGTGCTTTTAGAGACCAACTTCCTCTAAAAGCTCTGCTAACCAGAAGTACTTTCATAAAATCAACCAAATGGATTCAAAAGCATCTTAAAAATTCCTTTTGGCTTTTCAAAAGTCACGCCGAACGAGCCTTTAATCTAGTAGGGCAATATGTATGTTTAGCTATATGTTCACAGTATAGAAGCAAATTAGTCTGGTATACTGCTCAAGACTCGTATATTGCCAATCAAAAGTTGTATTTTTGTACTGCTAAGGGTTTGGAACACAATGAACAGCATGTATTAATATAATTACAATAAAAATCAAGAAAGAATTACCTGTAACTTTGTCAGCCGAGATCGATACGTACTCAATAGGGCATCATGATTCTGCATCAGATTTTCGATAACACTATTATCATTCACACATGGCCTATCATTCACTGGTGGCCTATCATTCACAGGTGGCTTATCATTCACTGGTGGCTTCTCATCCACTGGTAACTTATCATTCACAGGTGGCAATGGTGGCTTATCATCCACGGGTGGCTGATCATTCAAATATGGCCCCTCCCTTGTAATGTTTTGTGGATTCCTATTCTGCATATACAGTGTAAATAACAGGATGAATATTGGTAAAAAAGATTACTTGGAAGCAGAGGAGGAAGGATGGCCAAGCAAGACTACTAAGATGCAATACTAGCAAATTATAAACCCAAGAAGTCATGAACCACTCGTCTTCTTCATTTAAATGTGACCGAGAAACACAACAGAACTTTCAGCTGTCAAATCTGTACCAGGACACTAATTGAAGCAATTTTCTGTAAATTTAACAGACAAAAGCTCTGTTATGGATTCTCTTCTTGCTGCAATTTTCATTCATGGGCCATTGTCAAAACACAAAATCCCAGTAATCAGAATTTGGAATAAATGCACGCCTTTAAGAGCAGAGATAGCCACAAACACCTTGCCTGCTCTACTCTATGTGTAAAGATAGAGAGGACGAGCTTCGGTATGCTTCAACTCAATAACTTTATTCATTATAATGAACCCCATTGTATAAAAAGTTAAACTAAAATAAGAAAATGAATTAATTTATATATACTATACCATATATTACCCTGCATAAAAACTAAACTTATTGCGGTTGTTAACCATGACTACTTGTTTGCCTAAGCTATCTTATGCACTATTTTATGATCTTATTAATTAATTATTAATATCATATGAATTGGCACCCATATGTCTAGACCAGTTATATAATCTTAATAATGACCCATTGAAGGGACTGTGAGAGCTTAATAGCAGGCATTCAACTGCCAAATCCTGTATCCCTGCCATAAAAGGCAGCTCAAAAGGGAGGCCAAGATTCTACCTGCGAGGGAGGTGTTTGTAAAGGTTCAGCTGCTCTCACATGAGACCTATCGGAAGTAAGAATTTCATCGCTATTCAACATTTCCCTTCTTTCAAACCTCTCAACAAGACTGCGCGTCCTTCCATGCTTAACTGCCACTGCCAACATCAAAGCATAGGAATGATTATACTTTGCCCAACTCATCATTATTAACTATATAATAATATTCAACAGCAACCTCCATTGACATATTTAACTGACGATCCTCCTTTGCTACGACTCAGGTGCTCGTCATCTGAAACATTTCAAAATAATATCAATTTTTTTGTAGCTAAAAATCATTTGCGTTATCTTCATATATATATATATATATAATTTGCATGATATAGGACTTCGTAAAGTGCTCAAGAATGATGGAAGAATAAACAGTAATAAGAAACAGCATCAAGAGGATAATTCATATTCATAATAATAACTCACAGACTATTTCAGATATTTATGAAAATTAGTACCAGTATGTAAACAAAGTTGGCACATAGATAGAGTCAATGGACTATTTTGAGACAACATAGCATGAAATTTAAAGAATCTAAAAAATTTTGGAGTATGAGCTAATTTAAAGTATAGGCAATAAAATTTGGGAGTTCCAAAACAGAAACAAAATTTTCCAATCTGTTAAACTTCAAGGTCATGAACCATCGTGCTATACTGCATAAAATGAAGTAGTGTTTGGCACATACTTGTTACTTTACATGTTCTAACATAGTATTATGGTGTCCAACTTAGACAAACAACAGTGACCTCAATGCAAATGGGTAAAAGCATATATACAAAATAATAAATACATAGGTAACTGTATTGTATTCATACAGCAGAAAGCTTGTAATGAAATGCAATATCTAAAGGTTGTAGAGATGGAAAATTTAACAATTTCCTTACTTGATGGTGTTTCCATTGATGGAGTTTTATCATACTTCTCCGTCACAGTCTTAATATTTGATTGTTCCTCCCTAGAGGACTCCTTTGAATTATCATCTGTCACAAGCTTCTCCTTCTTACTTCTTACAGGAGTCCTCCTGTTCACAAAAACCGCAGATTCAAGGGATACTGACATTCTTTCCATATCAAAGCGAGCATTGGATAGCCTCCTTGTATGAGGTGGCTTGGCCACATCATCATTCCCCTTAGCAGCAACACTGAATTCCTTTCTAGAACTAACCAAATCTTTTCCATCAGGATCATCCCGTGGTACGATGCTAGGCACAACAAAATTTGTATTATTAGCTGTCACATTAGCTTTTGCAGGCAATCTCACTGCAGAACCTTGCTTCTTCATTTCCACAGTACTGATTTCCATGGAATCGGATGAGAGTAAAACCTTTGAAGAATCAAGTGAGCCAACCATATTCGAAGTGACAGTATTTACACCTGCAGCTTCACAGGGAAAGAAATTAGTGCCAATGTTAGTAATTTTGGCACAATCCCATAAATTACTGACAAAAATAAAAAATAAAAAATAAATAAATAAATAAATTCCGCAATAAAAACTTACAGTCGACATATATATTTTTTATTTCCTTAGGTTCAATATCTGGCTTTCTAGAGCGCAGATTGGACTTGAATTTTATATGGCTTTCTTCTTTCTCATCAGGACTTTCTGGACTGTTGCATTTTTGCTCTATGTGGCTGTGCTGTTCTGACATTCTTGCTCCATATGGCTCTATAAGCTGACACAAAAAGGGCAAGTTAGTGATTTGATGAAAACCCAAAAGATAACATAAGAAATCAAAAGTACATTAATAAATGAACAGAAGTGATTGGACATTTGAAGTATACGACAAAAAGTTACCGAAATATTTGATACCCAAACTGCTACAGAATTTTGATAATATGCACCACCTAAAAGTTTTCCATCATGGATGCAGAGATCACCAAGAATTGACCACCCCAAATCAACAGAATCATGACAAATTACAGGCTCCCATGAGTAAACCTATAGTTCAAGGTATACAAAACACATGAATTCAAGTATTCTTTTTTCCAAAATATCTAACATAAAATTTCGTAAGTCCAGACAGAAACCTTTAAACTGTCATCCAGTCCACAAAAAATACTTCTTCCATCAGGGTGGAAAGTTATTGATCGTACTCCTGTCGCCTAGAAGAGGGAAAAAAAGACTGCTTTAAACTGATAAAATATTTTGAGAACTATAATCAAACTGAAAAAGAAAAGACGAGAACAATATCATAAAAAATAATGGTGATGCATGAAAGGACAAACATAAGTGTAATTCAGTTTTCATTTCTTTGTGAAGATTTTTACGCAACATATTCCTGTTTTATGCTTTTGGATGCTAAATCAGAAATGTATACAATGCAGACAAAAGCGTTGTTAATTATGGATTCAAAAGGTTCACCTAAAGAAAGAATCACTTGGGGGTGAAGACCTATAAAGAAACAACCTGTAACTATATATTATTCCAAAAAAATAAAAATTAAAAATTAAAAAAAAATGAAAAAACCTATTAAAAACTCATAACAAGCCAAATAAATTAAATGTCATTCCATCCTATTAGAAATTAATAACAAGCCAAACAAATTAAATGTTACATCATTTAGTCTATTTTGGACGCGTATCATCCTTCCATTTTGTAGGATGAATTTTCATGTTAAATCAGGAAGAGCCACTACGTTCAGTTTTACCGTGCAGAATAAATATTTTAGAACTCATATTTTTACCCACTATTGATGCTGCAATTCCAGTCACAACTGTTTTCTGTATTCATTGATTTAAGAGCGGTATAATTGACCATTTTATAGGATAGATACTGATCTTGATATAGACAAATCTACTTTGTTTAACAACTTTTATAGATTTCAGATTCAATTGGTGTAGACAATATTTTCTTTCTTTCAAATGGGCAAGCTCTATTACCTCACGCTTAGCAGATCCAATCATCTCAAATGTTTCCAAATCCCAGAATTTCACAGTTTTGTCTGCCGAACCTGGAACTCAAATTATATATTACAGAACATCAAATTCCGTAGTGCCTAAAAAACAAGTTATATTACATAATAGCAAATCCTCACCCGTCGCCAAAAGAAACTCGGTTGGATGAAAATCTATTGAACGAATATGTCCTTCATGGAATTTGAAATCATGCAAAAGCTTTCCAGCTGTAAGGTCCCACACCTGTACCACACAAAAAGAGTTCGTAAATGAGAAAAATGGATAATAATTAATTTCAGAAAAAAATAACAACTTTTCATCAGAAACTCAACGTAATACCTTTACAACATTATCAAATCCACCAGAGACTACCCAGCGGCCATCAGGAGTGAACCTTATGGTACTTATACCTCGAGTATGGCCCTTGTATGTGTGAATACATCCTTTCTTTTTAATATCCCAGATCTTTAAATTAGTGTCCATGGAACCAGATGCAAACATATCACCGAATGGATGGAATTCAAGAGCAGTGCAATAGGATCTGTGCCCAGTAAGTGTGCGAACAGCTACAGGTCAAGAATATTAACTAAATTAGGAGTTGAGCCACATCAAATTCAATCCATTCTTATTAGGATGTTTGTAACAGAAAATGGAGCACAGAAATCCAAGCGAGAAAACAGACACTCCAATTTCTTAGAATCAATAATACAGGGTTCAAATATTGTTCTCTTTTATGCAATGTATAAATAAAGAATTTAAAGATGATTTACTTTTTGTTTCTTCCAAATCCCACAGCTTTATGGCACCAGAAGAAGATCCAGCAACCACTAAAGTCTCTGCTGAATCAAAAGCTACAGACTCTACTGGACTTGTGTGGCCACATAAGTTCTGCACAATTGAAGTAGGTACAAAATTATACGTAATACTTTCTCAGAATAGAAGACCACATGCTTTGGAAGATATGCATTGATGGGAGTTCAGTATTTTCAAGATACTTCATTATGTTCAGGAACAACTAAACGTGGATAAGAGCAGCAGATAATAATTGATTGGTGCAAAATTAACTCCATCCAATAATTGTAAGAACTCCAGATATTACCGAAGATAGCATATGAAAATACTTAGATAGAGAAGGTGTGTGATGACTGGACAACCATACATCGATGGCATGCATCAACTCTATGTTCCAAATTCCAATTCAACAGCAAATTTAAATGCAAATATACTGAAATTAAAGTTACTTTTTCTTACGGAGCATGTTTGGTCGTGTTTAAAAGTTACTTCCTAGAAAATAAGTCGAGACTTTCTCAAAAAATAATTTGTTATTGAAAACAGCAACTTCGAAAATCATGTTAGGCAAAATAAGTAACTTAAAAGTAAGCCAAACTATCCAGACCTACATTAAGTATATGCATCTTTCAGAGTATTCTGAGTCTATCCAAATGCCACAAATAATCCAGGACTGCCAAAATTGTTTCCGCTTTATTTTCTTAAATTTGAAACACATAACAGCAAATTGCTATTATTTTAAAATAATATTTAAATTCGGACGTGTAGTGTGTCCACAATCAGCTTAGAGATAAAATCCCAACGAGACAACGTAAATAGAGGAGGACACTGATAACACTCCAAATGGAAAAGGCGAAAAAATAAAATAAAATAAAATAAAAGCTGAATTTGTAATAGATGTTTGATTGAAACGAAATGCAGAAATTACAGATATGAAAATGATTACAGGACACCTTTCCTCTCTCAATATTTGCCTACCATTCTTTTCCTTCCTACCTCCATTTATAACTTCTCTTCCTAACAGATTTTCCCTCCCACATGCCTCCTAACCGAATGCTGTTATACATCCTTCTAGTGGCTTCTCAATTCTTCTTGTTTCCTCTAGCATAGATGAAATGGATTGGGGGCTACAATACCCCTGGTTTCCAAAATCACCTTGTCCTCGAGGTGAAAATTGGGGAATTGATGCTGGATAGAACTGGCTGATTCCCAGGATGCTTCATCTTTAGGTAGCCCCTTCAATTGGATTAACACTTCCATTTTTGGTTGCTGTTTACTGCCTACTTTGCGCACCCCAAGCACTTGATCTGGCTCGACAACCCATTCCAAAGTGGTGTCCAAGTGTGTGGGAAGTGGCTGGCTAAATTCCGTATCCCCCAGAGCTTTTTCTAGCTGAGAAACATGAAAGACTGGATGAATTGTAGCCGCAGGGGGTAACTCCAGATGATAAGCTACTGTCCCTACCCTTCCGATGATTTTAAATGGGCCAAAACACTTAGGACCCAACTTTTCATTTGGTTTCTTTGCACAAGTATCGCAAACGATACGGCCATAACTTTACATAGACATAGTCCCCTTCCTTGAACTCAATGTCTCTCCTATGCTAATATGCCGACAACTTCATTCTGGCGTGCGCTCGGAGCAACTGGTTTTTCAACTCCTCCAAAATCTTGTACCTGTCCTGCAGCTGTTGTTCGACGACTGTGTTTTGGATGGCATATCAAATTTGTGGGAGAGGGTCCCTCCCATAGATGGCCCGAAAAGGAGTCGTCTTGGTAGAAGCGTGGAATGTAGCGTTATACCAATATTCGGCCCATGGTAGCCATGTAATCCAATTTTTGAGGCTTATCAAATGTGACACACCCGCAAATAAGTTTCCACACACGTGTCTACTACCTATGTTTGTCCGTTCGTTTTGGAGGATATTTGCTCAAGCGATCAACCACCACCAATATGGAATCGAAACTTCCTGACTTTGGCAGTCCCTCTATGAAATCCATAGAGATATCCTCCCAAACTAAACACAGAATAGGCAAGGGTTGTAGGAGGCCGACTAGAGATAGAGCTGAACTTTTGTTTTGTTGGCACACAGGACATTCCTCCACAAGCTTCTTGATGTCTTTCCTCATCCCCCTCCAATACAAATCTCGTGTCAGACGTTTGTATGTTCAAAGGAAACCTGAGTGACCACCCACTAGACTGCTTTGATATTCCTTAAGCAAGTTTGGAATCAATGAGGAGGACTGAGGAATTACTAGTCGCCCTTTGTATGGCAACCTGCCCTGTTCTAGTGAAAAATGCATGTGGGAGTTGGGGTCACCTTGCAACTTCTCCTTAATTCCGGAGAGCAGAGGGTCTGCAACTACCTGTTACATAACCCTTTGAACATCCACTGCTGTCGGAAAAGTGAAGGTTGAGAGCTCTATTCGGGGGAGACTCGGGATTGCATCAACAGCCTTATTTTTCGTGCTAGGTCGATACTGTATCTTGAACTCATTATCCATCATCATCTTAGTGACCCAATGTTAAAATTCCCCTAGCACTACTCTCCGTTCTAGCAAATATCAGTTCACACTATAAATCGCTGCCCCAACAGGTAATGTCGCCATTTTTGGATAGCCAACACTATGGCCATAAGTTCCCTCATAAACTGATTTCTGCTGGTGCTTTCAGTTGTTGGAAAGCTTTCATAGCTCGGTAACCGGCCAAAAACCTTCGATAATACCCCATCAACCCCATAAAGCCACAAAGTTCCTTAAGAGTTCGTGATGTTGGCCACTTCACCATGGTGGATTTCTTACTACGATCAGTGCCCATCCCTTCTGTTGACACCAGGTAGCCTAAGTACTCTATTTGCAGATTGGGAAAATGAGCACTTCTTGATATTGGCGTGCAGCTGAAGTCATTGCAGGGTGTGGATTATCATTTCCAAGTGCCGTTCATACTTGGACTAAGGTACATTTCATAATGTTAGTTTGGAATTTTGCTAGGACAGGGCGGAAATGGCATGCATGTGAATGTCTCATTTGAGTTATTTTGTTGCTCCTAAATATGCACAAATTTACACAATAACAATATCTAAAAATAATATTGCATTGTTATTCTTGATAAAGTATAATATTTATATTCTAGATGAATTCTATATCAATGTTCTTGGTGAAAACATGACTCTATTTAAATAATATTCTATAGAAACATGTGTTAATATTCCCGAAGAAGTATAAAGCTTATAATCTTAAGCTTCTAAAGAATATTTAGATTTTACTTCCTAAATAAAAATATGAATCAATATTTTAGAAGAATATTAAGCCCCTATTATGTGGGAATTAAAATTAGATTTTGATAGAAATTTTTGAAAAGTGGAGTTAAAAAGTTGTCAGACCTATAAAATATGTGAATAATATTGATTGTCTGACTTTAATTTAGATTAAAATCTAATTTAAATCAATACTAAACAGGGGCTAAATTAATTCTCGTGAAAAAACTCGACAAGATTTTAACAATTCAAATATTTTGTAATGTGCCATTAAAGGATTAAAGGTGGAGTGTTGTAAATAATATGATTATTAATAAATGACAATTATATCCATATAACCCTGGTAATTATGAATAATATATCACTTGCAACTCTAATTCTTCCTTATAAATCTGTGATTTTAATACTCAATAAAAATACACAAAAGTCTATTGTCTTCTCTCTAATATTCCCTCTTCTCTATTTTATAACAATCAACAATTAATTTAAATCATGTATTTCACGTCTCATAACTTTTTAACCACACATTTCATCAATTTTTATTAAAATCTACTAAAAATCTAATTTTAATTCTTACTTGACTAGGGCATTATAAATTAAACTTCAAATGTGTACTTTTGTTTTAATAAAATGATGTGTATGTCCTCATATTTTTCCATATAGTTTCGACATTGTTTATCCATAGCTTGTTGGATAATTTTTGTGAATTTTATCATTTCACCGATTTGCACTAAATAACAGGCATCGATTCTTTTTAATGAATTGATCCGATCGCAACTTCAACTATGGAATTCCTTTTGTTTTGAGATTATGATTTCTTTTTCTTTCGAATTCATCAGGTACTGAATTCCAAATTAAGATATTGTGATTTTAAATATTTCAAAATGCATTGCCTTGTTTTGGGATTCCTTTATCTTTGATTTAAAATCAGAATAGTGAAATTTTGGCATTGTCTTACATCCATCACTCGAGGTCGTTTGCAAATATCGTTAATTTTGAGACAAGGAGACCGTCGTAGGAAAAACAAATAGTTGAGAAACAAAAATTGAAAGGCCGGCATTGAGATTTTTAACCCCCATTCAGCAATAATTTCAGGCATAAATTAAGATAGAGGGCCTTGAATCCCATAATTCAATTGCAGTTAACATTAGTAGTATACATTTTGCTTATGTCCATGATGATTACATGCTCATGTATACTTGAGAGACTATACAAATGAATTATATTCAACGGCATCCACATCCACATCCCAAGCTAATGCGCCATCAGAAAACCTTAACGCCGAAATTCTTCTATGTAGGCCTCCAGAAACTTTGAAGGAA